GGGGCGGGAGGCGCGTTGCCTCTCTAGGAAGGAGCGCTCTCTCGCCCGCAGGCCGAGGCTCCCGGGGACGGCGAGGGCGGGGCGCTGCGGCGGGAGCGGAGGGCCGGGAGTGGGTTGCGGCTTCGCTTCCCCGGGGCCGGAGCGCGAGGGAGCGCCAACCCGCCTGCCCCGGAGGCTTCGTTCCCTGCAAGCCGGGAAGGGGATATCGAGGACCTGCTTCCCACAGCGCGAGGGGCCCTTCGCCCAATGCGGCCGGGAAGGAGAGGAGCGGAGTAGGCGCCGCCGGGGAAGCTTGGCCTGAGAGGCCCGCAAGATGGACTGGCCAGGAACAGGGCCAGGGGCGGGTGGCGCAGCCCGAGGCCGTCGTGCCGCGGAGCCCGAGGAGGGAGGGCAGCGCTGGCCCGAGGAGCCCCCCAGCTCAGGCGCCGAGCGCTTCCGAAGGCTGTGCTACCGGGAGTCCCAGGGGCCGCGGGCAGTGTGCAGCCGCCTGCAGCAGCTGTGCCATCAGTGGCTGAAGCCCGACAGGAGCACCAAAGCTCAGGTGGTGGACCTGGTGATCCTGGAGCAGTTCCTGGCCGTCCTGCCCGCGGAGATGGGGAGCTGGGTGCGGGAGAGCGGAGCAGAGACCTGCTCCCAGGCGGTGGCGCTGGCCGAGGGCTTCCTGCTGAGCCAAGCGGAGGAGAAGAGGCGGCAGGTGAGAGGATGGTGATGGTCCTGGGAGGATGCCCGAGGAGGAACAAGGAGTCCTTGTTTCCCGAACTGCCTTGCCCGCCTCCAGTGCGGCTTATAACGGTAGAAGAGACTTTGGTTTCCCTCCATTTTCAGGCACAGAGTTGTGTTTGCCCACCCAGATTATTCCGCAGCAGGAAGGGGAATCCCAAGTGTACGTGCATCTCCGCCGACGGATCTAAGATGGTCCAGCTTTGGAGGCAGAGAAGAGTCTTCTCCTTCTCTTGTTCCACTGTTTTAACTTTTCTTCTTCTTTGATCCTGGCTGTTATTTCAGATGCAGGAGCCATTGATGAAGGTGGAAATGGTCGCGGTATCTCCTGAAGGCAGAGAAGCGCTCTCCGGTCTCTCTATGGAGCAGCTATTGGGAAGGATCTCTGAGGAGGATCCAACTCGGACCATGTTGCCACGTAAGTGAAGGTTGGTTCTGAGGCCAGTGAAGCCTGAAGGCATTTCATTCATGTGCTTCTTCTATACATAATTCTGGGCTGGTGTTACATTATATTGCTTCCCCATAGCTGACTCACCCAGTTTCCAAATATTCTTTATCCATCTCTTTTTATCTTGATCACAGGGAATGGAAGGCTGTTAATGGAAATTGCTGAAACATCCCCTCCTCTTTGTGCTGGCGCAGCAACAGCTCAGGTAGGGAAACCTCTGGGAAGGCGGTTGTCTGGTTTTGTCACAAGATTCAGTGCAGAGCCTGTTAAGGAGCTCAGGTGTTGAAGTCAGGAGTCGGTGTCGTCTCACTTTCAAGATGGTTGTTTAAGCACAATTTGCAGAACAGTATTATTGAGAAATCTAATTCATTTACGGAAACAGCTGATTATTTAAGTTGCTTGTTCCTGCTGTGGTTTACAGTACTTTATTTTAAAACAATCCCTTGCTGTCTAAAGCACGTGGAAGAAGAAGAATCAGCTATCATGAAATGAAAGCAAGGAGCCATTTTTAATTCATTCGTTTTTATTAAAACATCAGTAGGACTATTCACAATATGTTAATAAATCAAAGCAATTAAATTACAACAATAAACGATTAGCATTAAACGTATAGAGGAGTACATAAGATTAAAAGATATATGTGCAAGGCATGGATTTACAGAAGATGACTGCTCCTGCAAAAAGAATATCTTAGGGTATAAAAAGAGATGAAAGGTTTAATACAGAAGGATATCAGACAAATTCAGTTAGGTTTGAAGATGAATTCTGCCAGCAGGAAATTCCAACCACGCAGGTGGGACAGGGCTCCAATGCTCACCTAAACGCCTCTATGGTTCCATTTTCAACCAAGGAAAGGCTCCAAGATGGCTGCATTTTTAAAATGCAACCTAGATGTTTGAGGTCCATCTTTATACACTTGTGAACATTTGCAAGCCATAGTGAATCTTTGGAGAGGCAGCTGTAAAACCCAGTAGTACATCATGTCAAAAAAGGAGCATTTTCTCTTTTCCAAAACTTTGCTTTTAAGATATATGAAATCTGGGAGATAACTTTCTAGGACTTCTCTTTAGGAACATATCCTTTGAATTTCAGGGTTTGGTGTCTTTTGAGGAGGTGGCAGTGTATTTCACAGAGGAGGAGTGGGCACTGCTGGATCCCAGCCAGAAAGCCTTACATGCGGAAGTCATGATGGAGAATTCTAGGAATGTGGCCACTCTGGGTAAGGGCCTGCTTTGCTCTGGCTTCAGTTAATTGTGGAAAGTCTTTTGTTGTCAAAAGTGCTCAGAGAACAGCATCTGGCTATAATAAGGACACTTTTTTAGATATATAGTTGTGTGAAAAAGAAAGTACACCCTCTTTGAGTTCTATGGTTTAGGTATCAGGACATAATAAAAATCTTCTGGTCCTTAGCAGTTCTCAAAAGTAGGTAAATACAACCTCAGATGAACAACAACACATGGAGACACCATGTGTGAAAAACTAAGTACACCTTATGATTCAATAGCTTGTAGAACCACCTTTAGCAGCAATAACTTGAAGTAATTGTTTCCTGTGTGACTTTATCAGTCTCT